TAAATAATCTAGAGATGATTTAAAGTATTTGGGAGGATGTTCATCAGTTTTATGCAAATACTATGCCTTTTTTATATCAGGTACTTGAGCATTCAAGGATTTTGGTATCCATAGGAGTCCTGGAACCAATCGTCTATGGATACTGAGGGATGACTGTACTTTAATGTAAAATATAGTGCTCAGAATGAATACTCCAGGTATAGTTTTAAATCAGTTTACAGTGGAGATCATTACTTTTCAACTTCTGGATGCAGATCTTATTTTGGTTTGGCCTAAAATTGTTCTTCAGGAAGAAACCTCTACTCTGTAGGCATGAAACAGCCAACTTTATTGTAAGACCAATAGGACTAAGATGATTATTGGTGAATAAGAGAGTGGCTTCTACTTCCCCTGTCAAAGTTATAATGAATTTAGAAAGAAGAGGTTTCGGGATGAAAACAATTTAGTTTTAGTTTAAACCACATAAGGTACTTGTGAGGTAGTCCTGGTGATCACTGACTATATGGCTCTGAAACTTGGGATAGATCTGGGTGGGAGACCAAAAATTGGAAGTGGGAGGTGCATCCTGAATTGAGATGTTCTCATTTAAACATTTGAATTTAAGAAACTGTGTGGGAGGGGCACCTCCTCTTTCGGCTTTGGAGCCCCACCTCCCTCTGTCTTTGGACAGAGGAGCTTCTTTCTTCCTTCTCCCTTCCTTCTTGACCCTTCTTGCCCATTAAACTCTCTGCTCTTTAAAACCACTCTATGTGTGTCTGTGTCATTTTATCTAAACTGGCATGAGGACCAAGAACCCGGTGTTCCTCCACTCATTGGAGCCGTATCATTCTGATGCATTGGTTGGGAAAGGAAATTCAATCATCAGACTGGTGAGTATGGAGTGGATTTCAACTTTAAATCTTCCTTTAATCTCAAGGCTCTCTTCCAGCTACCCTGTCGCCAAACTTTCTTTCTCTTTCCATCCGTGGTCTCTTGCCCTCTCTCTGTGTGTCTAATGTGCAGGGTTCTGTCTGTTAGAAAAGACTGTGAATCACAACAGGCAGTAACTCAATAAATGTCTCTCTGTCCACGTTTTCTCTGGCGAGCACATGGTATTTCTAAGCCACTTAGTAGAAATTAGGCTCTAGGCCTCTTCTGGGAATGGAAAGTTTCTGCTTTTAACAGGAGTAAGATGTTTTCTGTAGCCAAATTTTAGTCTCAATATTGTCCCACTGGCAGGAAAATGATCATTCGGTTCCTACATTCCTTTAAGCCATCTATTCTGGCTCCTACTAAAACAGTACTTAATTAGTGAGGGGATTTTAAGTCTGGAAGTTAACTGGAACCATTCTTCTCTGGGTAAATGCTTTAGCATGGGCTATAACAGTAGGATAGAGTTCAATCTAGCATGCCCCCTCCCTTAAAGGGGACTTGCCCAATTACGTGTTTTTTCTTAAAATCCATTTTTTGGAAGGCACACAGGCCACACAAGTCTAGGAGGTCCAAGGAAGTAAAAGGCAGAGAATTGCTTGGGAACAGCATGACTAAGGCCCAAAACTCAGTTCCTCTGGTGCCATGGCTTGGAGGATCATGCCTGCAGTCATGGGCTGCACATTTAAAAGGGTGCCGGGAATCTAGGAACGAGGGAAGAAAATAGTTGGGGGGACACCTGCTACTGCTTTCTTCTCCATCCTGGATCACATACCGAAAGGAAGGAGACTAAAATGACGCTTTTTTTTCTCCCTTCTCTTTCTAGATGGGTAACAGATCGTCTTCAACATGGACTCCCCTTGAGTGTATTTTGAAGCACTGGGACTTCCTTGACCTTGAAACTGAAGAAAAAGTGGCTTATTTTCTTTTGCAGTCATATCGCGCAGGCCCGGGGAAAATGGTTCCCCAAAGTTAAAAAAGTAACTTTCAGGGAAGTCATCTGAGGGTCCCCTTATTTGGGGCTCCTTCAAGTTCCCTTCTTACTGCAGGAACTTAGGCAAGTAAAGGGAGACTTAGGCCGATTTTCTGATGACCCTAATAGGTATATAGAAGCGTTCCAAAATTTAACCCAGGTATTTAACCTCTGATGAAGGGAGGTTACGTTGCTGCTAAGTCAGATCCTCACTTTGGATAAAACAGGCAGTTCTGCAAGCAGAAGAAATTTTGGAGATAAGTAATATGTCTCCTATAGTAGGCCAAAAGGGAAAAGAAAAAAATAGGAAGGCCAAAGAAATAGGGGAAACAGCATTCCCAATAGGAAAAGAGGCAATACCTCTTGACAACCCCAATTGGAACTCCTTTCTATGGTCTTTTTGCTTCTTTCACAGTTTAAAATGGCTTCTATCTCTCTTATAATGTTCTTCCAAGACGGAAAATGTTAATTTTCAAACCTTAAAATGCTTGACATAGAGTTGAGCTAGGGGGAAGGGAACCCAGAATCCTGATATGCCGGCAAAAGGGTAAAAATTTCTTACCACTCGGGCTTTTGGCTTCTCTCTACCTGCACAAACTGGCAAAAGGGATAATAAAGATAATCGTTTGTATTTTCTTTAAGTTTATAATTAATGAAGAAGGATTTGGGAGGTTGGTCTTAAGCTGTCAACAATCTGGTGTGCTGTGTGTGCCTCTCTGTATGGTTCTGTTAAAGAAAAGGTATCTCAGGTCAGGATGCAGGCCCAGAACCCCGTAAGCCAGCTGTTCAAATCAGCCCAGCAAAGCAGCTAGTGGCAGACTTGGCTACAGGCCTCCATCTTGTTTCTCATCTTTGGAAACATAATCTGTAACCACATGGCAATACTTTGTTTTAGTCTCCGCCATTTGACAATAGTGGCTGTCTTCTTGTGCTAAATCAGAACCTAGTTTGTCAGTCTGGGTTGTGCTTGTTGATCCATCAAGGGCAGGGTTTACAAAATATCTTAAACACGGATCATGAGAGCAGTTTAGGTAGGGTCAAAATTTTGTAGCTCCAGCTGCATGGCTCTTGGGCCATGGTTTCTAATCCCGTGGCTAATTTCTTGGTCTGATTCCCAGGCAAGAGGGAAGTATATCTTGGGAAGCAGCTGTTATTTGTTTTAGACTATAAACTGTAAACCAGTCTTCTCCCAAAGATGGGCTAAGGACAGCTTGAGGGCTGGAAACAAAATGGAGTTGTTTGGGTCAGATCTCTTTCACTGTCTCAGTCACAGTTTTGCAATGACAGTTTCAAAAGCTGCCTATCACACCTTTAAAAATACCTTGTACACTTGTGGTTAAGTCATAACCTAATTAAGGCTCATTAGTTTCACCTGTGTAGTTACTTGTTGTAAAGTTCAAAAGCCAAATATCTGAACTGCTTGGTGTGACTAAAGTCCAGTAACAAGGGATTTAAAAGAATTTTCTTAAAGAGTGCTCAGCTTAATTAAAAGTGGATATTCAGGCCGGCTGTGGTGGCTCACGCCTGTAATCCCAGCACTTTGGGATGCTGAAGCAAGAGGATTGCCTGAGGTTGGGAGTTCAAGACCAGCCTGACCAAGGTGAAGAAGCCCCATCTCTACTCAAAATACAAAATTAGCCAGGTGTGGTGGCACATGCCCGTAATCCCAGTTACTCAGGAGGCTGAAGCAGGAGAACCACTTGAACCCGGGAGGCAAAGGTTGAGATCACACCACTCCAGCCTGGGCAACAGGAGGAAAACTCTGTCTCAAAATAAATAAGTAAGTAAAAAAGGGAACATTCAAGTTACAGCCGTATTAAAAGGTCTTTATGATTTTTTCTCTTGTTGAATCTTGTTTTTCTGGAAAAAGGCTCTTCTCAGTTGAATGAATTATTTTTCTCCATCTTTTGTCTTTCTACTCTTAATGCACGCATAAAAGGCCCTAAGATAACTTCTGGTAGCATGGGACTCCTTGGGAAAAACCGAGGAGGTGCCACAGATCCCGTTTTGAGAAAACACCTGTTTTCCTCATGAAACCCCAGGAATTAAAAGCATATAGTTCCCTCTCAAAAATCAAAGGCTCTGTTCTATTTTGCATTGTGTTATCTGATGGTTTGAGTTTTGGGGGTATCAGAAATTACTTCAGATTATGAGAAAGTTTTGGTGTGTAATAATTAGGTAGAAAATACACTGTAAGGGATGGCTAACAGTAGTTATAAATCAGAGAACCATGCTCTTGGCCACCTGGAAGATAAGGAAACATTCCCAACCACCACCTGGAAAGGAGACTCCCATCAGGGATGGACTAATTACAAAAATAAGCCAATTGGCTTTGGGTTGCCTTGCAATGAAATGCATGGTAGAAGCCCTACACCACCTTCTCCTATAGTATCTATATGGTTTTTTCATAAATTAAGCATTAAAATAAAAGCATTGCAAGGAGATCTTAAGACACTAACTTCTCTTTAATAAAAGAGTTATAAAAGACTTGTAAAGATTTCAACTCATAGTCAAATTGGTTAGGGTTAGATGGAATAATCTATAAAGTTTCACGTACATGAATTAGGGTTAACATTAATAAACTAATGCAAGAGAAATTTTTGCTTTGAACAAGATTTTCATGTCATAGTGAGGCTAATGAAACGTTTTTGCCTTTTGAGTCATTATTTTGGCAAAATAATTTGTGGCAATCTGGAAATTGTTTTTCCTGATGCTTGGCTTTTTGAATGGTTTAGAAGGCCCCTGAAACATTCAGAAAAGAGGTAAATAGGATTAGTCATATGAGATTGCCAAAATGATGTCCAATCTTCTTTAAGTTATATTTTGGTGAATAATACTAATATATGTTCCAGAATTGTACAGGAGTTCTAAAATTCTAATGTCTAAGTATATGCTAATCAATCATAATTAAGGGTAAAGTTATTGTAAACCACAAAGATAAATAAACTTGTCAGTCATGTTTTAAACTGTAACTATCTTGAAAATTTTGTCGTTTGCAGACAATTGTTGTCTTGCTTTGTTCCTTGTTTTTCTTTGTTCCTTCTCAAAAAACGGTTTATAATCAAGCCATGTTAAGGACTTTAACAGGTATTCTTAAATGCAGGGTTTTTTTTTAATATATAGCTTTAAAGATTGTAACATTGGAATAAAGAAAGAATGTACAGGACTCATAATGAACTAACATGTTCACAAATATCAAGCAAAACAAGACAACTAAATGGACTGCACTCAGAAAGTTAAAGCAAGCTTTGTTGAATACAGTAAGAAATTCTTCTTCAAAGGTTTAGATTGCTTAAGTTTCCTTATCCTTTGTTCCCTGTTTTTAAGGGACTTCCTTACTCTCTGTGTTCCCCCTGCCCTGGTAAACAACCTTCCCTCCAGTCCTTATCAATAGGGCCCACATTCCACATCTGCTACCCACTCTGTGAATTACTCCTCCCATCACAGCAGCTACTCCCACTGAAACTGATCTTCCTGCCTTCCCACTGGAATAACTACATTCCTTCACTTTTCAAGTTAGCCAACTGAGTGTAGCTTAGATTGTGTGGTCCAACTCCTGCCAATGGAAGCAGGACACAGTAACAGGGACAAGCTGTGTTAGAGATAATAAAAAACCCTGCTTTCCTTTGTTTGTGTGTGCTCTTGTGGCAATCAGACTTCTGAGAAGCACCCTTTCTGCAGAAAGTAAAGTTGCCTTGCTGAGAAAATTATTTGTCTGAGCACCAGTTCTTTTCAGCACTGAGGAACAAGCATTTATTTCTAACAAATTTGGGGACTCGTCTGGGATTCCCATTCTTCTCTGGGGAACAGGGTTCCAGTCCTCTCCTGTGAGGCTGTGTGCCCCATTGCCTTGTTACAGCAGCCTCAGGGGTAAGGAATCAGAACCCACCCAGTGTGACCAATAAACCTGAACTCTCAGCAACATGGGAGAAAAAGGCCTATGAATACCACGATGACCAGGCAACTCTATGCACAGACCAAGGAAGGAAAAGCCATGGGAGCCAGTAAAGTATTTCCTTGGTGGTCAGGACCCAGGTAAGAAAAGCCACAGGGAGCGGTGAAGTATTCTTTGGTCAGGACATACCAAGGCAAGAAAAACTGAGGGGGTGGTGAAGCATTGGTCAGGGTATTCTGGAGGCTGAAAGTGCATGAATGGTAACAAGCATTACTGCTGTGTGGAGTGAGCCCAATCGCAGTTCCGTGGTTACCTCATATGACTTAGGGTGGCTTTCTCTAAAGGATCCTGATGTTGGGGTTTATACAATCCTGTCAATGCTAAGAGGGACCTGAAATATTCCCTCAAGGGAAGCAGCCAGAGTGGACAAAGTGAAAGGAGAAGAGTGCGAGGAGCCTCCAGCAGGTGAAGTTAGAAGATAGGCAAGAAATCCCTAATACAAGGGATTGAGCCACAGAAAGCCCAGAGAGAGAGAGAGAGAGAGAGAGAGAGAGAGAGAGAGAGAGAGAGAGAGAGAGAGAGAGAGCCCTAATATGAGGGATTAAGCCACAGCGAGCCTCCAGTAGGCAAGAAACCCCTAATATGAGGGATTAAGCCTAGCTAAGATCCATTATGGGAAATACCCCAAGCAAGACAGAGAATAAGAAGGAAAAAAATAGTAACAACAAGGATATACCTTCTGATAGTTCCCTAAGTTTCATGTTAAATTATTTGAAAGATAATGAGAGGACTAAGCATAACAAGAAGGAGCAAAGGATAAAATATTGCTGTTTCATTTGGACCCAGGGTCCCATCCTCAAACTTTCAATCTTCTGACCAAAGTTTGTGTTGACTGAGGATATAATGTGTCAACTTCTAATCCAATATGTTAATGATAAAAGTCTGCTTTCTCAAGAAGAACTAGACTATGTACTTTGTTGGAGACAGGGACCTGTCCTCCTCTTTCCCTTAAAGACAACTAGGGAAGACCCCAATCTAGCATTTCAGACTGAAAAGTCAGACAAGCTGAATCCCACACCTAAAGCCAGCACACGGGATCCCCTAGACTGTCTTCCTCTGCTTACTGCCCCTAATCCTAACCATTCCTTTCCTCAGGCAGCTACTGCTGCCCCAGATCCTGTCCCACATTCTTCTCCTACTCATGATATTCCCCCTGCTTACAACCCTGACTCTCAGGGGCAGTCGTCCCAAGAGTCTGTTCATTTTCAACCTAAATATCCTTCCTTAAAAGGGCTCCAATGTGAAATAAAGCAGTGTAAAAAGAACATTCAGAAATTCTCTTTTCCTTCCACACCTAAGGAGTCAGCCTCAACTCTCTTTCCTTTAAAGGAGGTACCACAAGGAAGGGGCATCACTGGTTTTGTAATACTCCCTTGACTAGTTCAGAAGTCTGAGGTCTGAAGAAAGAACTTAAGCCACTGCTAGATGACCTCTGTGGAGTGGCAGATTAAGTTGATCAATTCTGAGGACCTTAGTCATACACTTGGGTCGAGCTAATGTCTATCCTAGGCATCCTCTTTTTAGGGGAGGAAAGAAACATGATCTATAGAGCTATTATGGCAATTTGGGAATGTGAACATCCTCTTGGTCAAAGCATTACTACCGTGGACCAAAAATTTCCTGCCCAAGACCCCTGGTGGGACAATAACAATGCAATTCACCCAGAAAACATGCAGGACTTAAGGGAAATGATAATAAAAGGAATCAGGGAATCTGTACCCCAAACTCAAAACCTCTCTAAAGCATTTGATATACAACAGGAGAAAGATGAGTGACCTATGAGATTCCTAGACAGACTAAAAGCAGATGAGACAATATGCAGATCTGAATTTAGAAGATCCCCTTGGGCAAGAGATGTTAAAGGTCCATTTTGTGGTTAAGAGCTGGCCAGACATCTCAAAAAAGTTATAAAAATTGGAAGATTGGGAAAACCGGCCTCTAAGTGAACTCAGAGAAGCTCAAAATGTGTATGTGAGAAGGGATGAGGAAAAGCAAAACCAGAAGACAAAATTGATGTTATCCATTTTCCAGGAGGTGGCTCCAAACCCATAGGCTTCTAACCAAGGCTTCCAGGGAGACAAAAACTATAAAGGATTCCAAACCTTCCAGACTCTTTAGAGGATCCAAACCTTCAATTAGAGGACCCAAGCCTACATTCCCCATGCCTCCTATAAAGCATAGAGAAGCAAGACCAAAAAGTCCCAGAACCAAGAGAGGGGAAGGACAAGATAGGTGTTACAAACGTGGAAGGATGGGCCACTTCAAAAGAGAATGTCCCTAATTAGAAAAGGAGAGAGAAGCCCTTCCACTCATGACCTTGGAAGAGGAATAGGGAAGTCAGGGGTTCTGTCTATGTTGTCTTGAGTCCCAACAGGAGCCCTTGATCAATTTGGAAGTGGGCCCTACACATAAGATTATCACCTTTTTAGTTGATTCAGGAGTGGCCCATTCCTCTGTATTCCCCCATCTAATATTGCCTGCACTTCAGAAGAATTTGTAGTCTCTGGGGTAAAAGAGAAAGGATTTAAGGCAAGAATCTTAGAAAATAAAGAAGTCAAATACCGAGATTCAATTTTTGTTAATCCCTGAAGCAGGAACTAATTTATTAGGAAGAGACTTAAAGTTTGGAATAGGCCTACAAGTCAGCCCAATGGGATTCCTTACTTCATTAAACTTACCACTGTGGATGACAAATGCATTCATCTCAATGTCTGGTCAAGGGAAGGGAACTTGGGAAAGCTTCAAATTCCCCCAACCCACGTCAAGCTAAAAACCCCTGGGGAAGTAGCAAGGAGGAAGCAATACTATTCCCTTAGACAGCAGGATAGGGCAGGATAAGTCTCATTAAAGACGGGCTTCTTGAACGCTGTATGTCTCCTTATAACACCCCAATACTACCTGTCAAGAAATCAAATGGGTCATACTGGCTGGTGCAAGACCTCGGGGCCATTAACCAAATAGTCCAGACCACTCACCCCATTGTCACCAACCCTTACACCATTCTCAGCAAAATTTCATATAATCATCAATGGTTTACTGTAATAGATTTAAAGTATGCTTTTTGGGCATGTTCCCTGGCTGAAGATAGGTGAGACATATTTGCCTTTGAATGGGAGGATCCCTAGTCAGGGCAAAAACAACAAAATTGATGGACAGCCTTGCCCCAAGAGTTCACGGATTCACCCAACCTTTTTGGTAAAATTTTAGAGCAAGTGCTGGAAAACGTTTCTATTTCAAAACAATTATGCCTGCTTCAATATGTCGACGATATTTTCATATCTGGTAAGGATATGAAGAAAGTAGCTGGCTTCTCTACACATAGTCTTAACCATCTGCAGTTCAAGGGGTTACAGGAATTTAAAGGGAAAGCTTCAGTATGTGGAGCCTGAAGTTAAATATTTAGGTCACTTAATAAGTTCAGGCAAGTGAAGGATGCGCCTGAACAAATTGAAGGAATCATGTCCTTACCCTTGTCTTAAACAGGAACTCAGGAAATTTTTAGGGTTAGTTGGATACAGCTGCTTATGGATTGACTCATATGCACTAAACAGTAAACTTTTTTTTATCAAAAACTTGCCCAGGGAAAGCCTGACTGTCTCCTGTGGACTTCTGAAGAGGTTGATCAGGTAAAAGAGCTAAAAGAAAGGCTTATAACTACCCCTGCCTTAGCCTTACCTTCCCTAGAAAAACCATTTCACCTTTTTGTCAGTGCAAATAATGGGGTGACTTTAGGGGTGCTTACCCAAGAGCATGGAGGCTTCCAGCAGCCCATGGCCTTCCTGTCAAAAATTTTGGACCCAGTTGCCTGTGGATGGCCTCAGTGCATCCAATCCGTTGCAGCTACAGCAGTATTAGTTAAGAGAGTAGAAAATTAACCTTTGGAGGGAGATTAACAGTAAGCACATCCCACCAAGTTAGAGCTATTTTAAATAAAAAAGCAGGAAGGTGGCTCACTGACTCCAGAATCTTAACATATGAGGCTATTCTATGAGTAAAAGGTGATTTAACTTTAACTACTGATAATTCCTTCAACCCAACAGGCTTCTTGACAGGAAACCCAAATCTGAAAAGAGAACACCTATGTCTGGATTTAATTGACTAGTAAACAAAAATCAGGCCAGATCTAGGAGAGGCCCCTTTCCAAACAGGACAGCACATACTTATAGATGATTCTTCCCAGGTGATTGAGGGAAAAAGACACAAGGGTATTCAGTAATTGATGGAGAAACTCTTGAAGAAACAGAGTCAGGAAAATTGCCTAATAATTGGTCTGCCCAAATTTGTGAGTTGTTTGCCCTAAGCCAAGCCTTATAATATTTGCAGAACCAGGTAGGAAACATCTATACTGATTCTACGTATGCCTTTGGAGTGGCTCATACATCTGGAAAAATTTGGACTGAATGAGGTCTCATTAATAGTAAAAGTCAAGACCTTGTTCATAAGGAATTAATCATCCAAGTACTAGATAATCTTCTGTTGCCAGAAGAAATAGCTATTGTCCATGTCTCTGGACACCAGAAAAGCCTTTCTTCTGAAAGTTGAGGAAATAACGTAGCAGACCAGATAGCCAAGCAAGCTTCTGTTTCCTCTGAAACGTCTATGTTTCACTTAACTCCTTGTCTTCCTTCCCCTACTTCAATCTCCATTTTCTCTTCCATTGAAGAAGAAAAATTAAAGATAGGAGCCAGAGAAGACTCAGAAGGAAAATGACTGTTACTAGACCAAAGAGAAATGTTATCCAAGCACCTTATGTGAGAGATCTTGTCTCAGCTATATTAGGGTACACATTGGGGATCCCAAGCCATGAGCGATGCAGTTCTCAGGGTCTATGGTGTATAGGAACTTACACCCTAAACAAGTTAGATAGTTACTTAATATGTAAAAGGACTAATAAGCAGATTCTAAGAAAACTGCCTCTTGGAGGAAGGGATCGAGGACAAGGAACATTTCAGTGTTCAGATTAATTATACTGAAATGCCCCCAACTGGTCATTTAAAATACTTATCAGTAATAATAGATCACTTTACCCACTGGGTAGAGGCTATCCCATTCTCAAGTGCAACTGCCAGTAATGTAATTAAGGCATTAATTGAAAACATCATACCCAGATTTGGATTAATGGAAAACATTGATTCTGATAATGGAACCCATTTCACTGCACATGTCATTAAAAAGTTAGCCCAGGTACCAGAGATAAAACAGGAATACCATATCCCTTGGCATCCATTCTCCTCAGGAAGAATAGAAAGGATGAATCAGACTCTAAAAAGCTATTTAAGTAAATGAGTTTTAGAAACTCAATTGCCATGGACTAAATGTCTTCCTATTGCTTTGTTAAGAATCTGCACTGTTGCCTCAGAGATATTGGCCTTTCCCCTTATGAGGTGCTCCATGGATTGCTCTATTTACACTCCACTGCTGACATTCCTACATTTGAAACAAAAGATCAGTTCCTCAAAATTTGTATACTTCGTCTATCCTCTACCTTCTCTTCCCTTAAAACTAAAGGTCTCCTAGCATAGGCACTGCCCCTGGAGTTTCCAGCACATCAGCATCAGTCTGGAGACCACGTCCTCATCAAAGGGTGGAAGGAAGGGAAACTCAAACCACCTTGGGAAGGACCCTACCTGGTGCTCCTAACTACTGAGACTGCAGTCCAAACAGCGGAAAGAGGATGGACTAATCACATCCAAGTCAGAAAAGCGCCGCCACCTCCAGAACCATGGACCGTCACTCCAGGGCTCACCGCCACCAAATTAACTCTAAAAAGAGCTTAATAATGAGTTTTCTCTTTTATTTCCAACAGAAAGTCATCTTGTCATTAGTGTGACTTGGGCTAACCATCCTTTGATCCTTCAGTTCGATGCTTGTTTAGTCATCTCGTGTGGAGACAAGCAAGCTCATAGGAAGCTATCACATATAGATAAGTATCTATGTCCATACCATAAAGGGTCAACCAACTATAAGTATGGAGTCTTAAAAAGTCCCTGTGGTGACTGGGCGGATGTTTGGTGGACCACTCAGTATAAAGAGTGGACAGCCAGGCCTCCTTTTTCAAATAAATTACAGGGACTAAAACAAAAACTCCAACTAATTCATGGTCCCACCCACCAAATTGTAAGCCATTGCAGTGTAACTCCTTATTGCTGATTATATATAATCCCCAAACAATGGCCCAGGAACCCTCTGTATTCAAATGGTATGGGCTAGGAGCAGATGTTACAGGACAGGATCCCATAGGAATCTTCTCCCTAAGGTTAGCTGAACCATTGGTTAGCAATAATAAAAAAATCCAGACTCAGAGTCCAAGAGACATGTGAAACCCAATGCTCTCCCCAGGTATAGCAAGCCCATCATCCTCCTCCCATCTCCAGAACAACCCAACCAAAGTAGTGATTGTGGAGGTAAAAGATTTAAAGCAAACTATAGCTCTAGAGACAGGATATCAAGATGCAAATGCTTGGCTGAAATGGATTAAATATTCCATCCGCACTTTAAACAAAAGTGAATGTTACACTTGTGTGTACAGTAGACCAAGGGCCCAGATTGTTCCCTTTCCACTCAGATGGTCTTCCAACTGACTGGGCATGAGCTACATGGTTGCTCTCTTCCAAGATCCCTCAGCCTGGGGTGACAAATCATGCCAAGCGCTTTCTCTGCTGTTTCCTGAAGTTCAACATTCTGTGGGTCAGCCCCTGAGGGCCATCCAGCTTCTGTCTCCCAATGCTAATTTTACTTCGTGTCTCTCACAACAGGGAGAAAACTTGGCGTTCCTCAGAGGCTTAATGGGATGCACTGAGCTTAAGTCCTTCCAAGAGCTTACCCATCAGTCTGCCCTTAGTCATCCTTGAGTGGACATATAATGGTAGTGTGGTGGACCATTACTGGACACTCTTCTAAGTGTGTCCAGTGTGTCCACAACTGGAGCAGAACTTGTGCTCTAATTCAATTGGCCATCCCTTTCACCCTGGCATTTCATCAATCAGAAAAGATAGAAACCAAACATTGTAGGAAAAGAGAGGTGCCTCATGGGTCCTTTCACTGTCATATTTATATAGATGTCATTGGGGTCCCATGAGGAGTGTCAGATGAATTTAAGGCCCAGAATCAGATAACTGCAGGATTTGAATCTATGTTCTTCTGGTGGTCAACTATAAATAAGAATGTGAATTGGATAAACTACATTTATTACAATCAACAACGATTTGTTAATTATACTAGAGATGCTGAACAATTAAGCGACAGCTGAACAATCAGGACCCATGGTCAAATGGCCTAGGAAAATAGAATAGCATTAGACATGATACTAATGAAAGAGCGTGGAGTTTGTGTTATGATTGGAACCCAATGTTGTGCTTTTATCCCTGATAATACCACTCACAGCAAGACCATAACAAAGGCACTACAAGGTCTTACTGCCTTATCAAACGAGCTAGACAAAAATTCTGGACTAAACAACCCCTTCACACATTTAATAAGAAATTGGCTTGGCAAATGGAAGGGACTTATGTCCTCAATCCTCATCTCTCTTGCCATTGGAATAGGGTTGCTTATTCTTGTAGGATGTTGTGTCATACCCTGTGCCTGAGGACTAATACAAAAGCTTATTGAAACAGCTCTCACCAAAACCTCCCTCAATCCTGCTCCTCTTTATTAAAACGAGCTTTTTCTTTTAGAAGACCAAGTAGAACAACAGAGCCAAATTATGCAGAAAGGTTTGAAGAAGAAACAGTATAAAAAAATTAAAGGGGGGATTGTTGAATACAGTAAGAAATTCTTCTTCAAAGATTTAGCTTGCTTAAGTTTCCTCGTCTTTGTTCCCTGCTTTCAAGGCCAGACTTTCTTACTCTCTGTGTTCCCCCTGCCCTGGTAAACAACCTTCCTGCCAGTCCTTATCCATAGAGCCCACATTCCACATCTGCTACCTGCTCTGTGAATTAACTCTCCCATTGCAATGGCTACTCCTGCTGAAACTGATCTTCCTGCCTTCCCACCAGTATAACCGCATTCTTGCAGTTTTCAAGTTAGCCAACCAAGTTTAGCTTAGATTGTGTGGTCCAACTCCTGCCAATGGAGGCAGGACATAGTAACAGGGACAAGCTGTGTTAGAGATAATAAAAACCCCTGCTTTCCTTTGTTCGTGTGTGCTCTTGTGGGAATCAGACTTCTGAGAAGCAACCTTTCTGCAGAAAGTAAAATTGCCTTGCTGAGAAAATTCTTTGAGAGCCAGTTCTTCTTTTCGGCACCAAGAAACAAGCATTTGTTTCTAACAAGTTTTAACTTTTGCTTAGAATATTGCTGATCCCTATTTTCTTTTTCAGTCAATAAAAGTTATTTTATGGCCTTTAATAATTGAGTAAGATATACTCCTGTGAACAAAATTTGGAGCATGTTTACTCTTCTCTGCCTGGTTCCTCTAGAATTTGAAGACTGTCTGTAAGTACTCTTAACTTATGGCCATATAGTTGTTTGTGTCAGTGCAGTAAGAATCCATTTTTCTTTGTCAACAGGACACAATTGGAAAAACTGGTTATATTACCAAGGCTTTAACTGAAAAGGGAAACAAGTTTGACATGGAGAGCCAATAAAAGCCTCTTGGGGAGAACTGGCCTCATACCTTGTCTGCACAGTCCCTGCACAGGGTTCCTAACCTGTGGTCAGTAAAGAATGCCACTTTCTAATAGGTCTGGGAGTTTATCTCGGGACCTCAAAAGGAGAGGATCACTCAATTCACAGGTATTTGAGGATACAAATTCATGGCTGAGCTGGATTTTAAAAGGTCTTAACTGAGATTCCTTGTGCAACAGAGTTTCATCAAAGCCAATCCAAAAGGCCTATGTAGAAATACCCTCTCTTGCTGCACTTTATGCAAATAATCAGGCCATGCATAGGACTAATGTTTATTCTATGAGCAACACATATGGTCCTATCATAATTTGTTTTAATCAAAAACGAGGAATGGAGAGAAAATTTATACTCCAAAGCTTATCATACATTCCTCATTAAATCCTAGTATCATTCATTGTATTTAAGTTTTTGCCTACATTTTAGACTAACTCTGCTTATTTCTGTGAATCAAGTGGTAATCTCCTCCAGTTTGGAAGAAAGAAAATGAATGGGTAATGTAAAAATTTGAATAAATATGCTAGTTCTGGGCAATTATCCTGCAAATTCTGCCAGGTAATGAAAGTGAGTAGGATGCCCATAACCCAGAGCTTTCTTTGTTGGGAAAATAAAAACAGGCTTCATAGACCAACAAAGGAAAACTCTGTATATTGGCAAGTAAAATTTTAGATGGAAATTATCTACTACACACTTGTGGAAACTGCTATATTCACTCTACTATTTGCAATAGGGTTATACATGGTAGCACCTTCTAACTGAAATATTGTATAGTGTTTCCATTGCTGTTGTATTTTGCTTAATTATTATCCTTATAGCAGGGATAATAGTTACTGACAAAAAGGAAGCATGGAAGTTTTAATATCACTGAGTCTGCTAGGACTTTTTATTGAGTTTAGTAATGATTAACACCTTTAGTAAAATAGAGAAAAATCTATAGGTACTTAAAAATCATATCAAAATTATTAACAGGCTCAGGGAAAATGTCAGCTTCAGCCCTGGGTGGCTACAATCCCTCTTTAGTGAATTCTAGTCTTCTTTATGGAATTGGTTAGCCCCTTTATTAAGCCCTCTCTTGCTTATATATCTTGTATTGACATTTGAACCCTGTATACTCAATACTATAACTCTAATTGTTTCTTCTGCCTGGAAGCAATCAAACTCCTAATGGTGATGCAAACTGAACCACACATGGACATGCCATTCTTCCAAGGACACTTAAGTTGACCTCAGAAGGTGTCCTAGCTGCTGTTCTCCATTCGATGCCCTTTTTCAGCAGGAAGTAGTCAAAAAGAGTCATTGCCCAAAACCACTTAACAGCAAGTTAGTGTTGTATCACCAAAGGGAGGAATGTGGTAGGAGTTAGTAAGAAATCAGAGAGAAAAGGTGGTTCTTAGGAAGTTTTCATTTTTTAAAGCATTTCCAGAAAAGTTTCTTGTAAAGCCCCAGCTCTTAGGCCAGCAACCTTTGATATGCAAATGTTGGCCATTAGAAACTGGGTCCACCCAACACTGTGGTTCCCACCTTCTTGCCCTTGCCACATATGTTCCTGGCAACATGGCCACCCCCATATATCCCCACGTGTGTAGAACATCATGGTACTCTGCATTTGCATATTAAAAGACTAGGGTGAGTGGGCCAGCTCTTTCTCACGCTATGTGAATGACAAGCCTGGTCAAATCAATCCCCCGAACCCTATGTAAATCAAACACCTCTAGCTTCTGCATATATACCTGGCTGGTTTCTGTGGCAGGTGGGGACCTCCTCTTTCAGCTTTGGAGACCCCCTCCCTCTGTCTCTGTACAGGGGAGCTTCTTCTTTCTTCCTTTTCCCTTCCTTCTTGCCCCTGATTGCCTTTTAAACTCTCTGCTTCCTAAAACAAACAAATGAAAAAGAAAGAAACTGTATGGGAAAAAAGACAAAAACAGTTTTAAAAAATTTTTGGTGCTCTAATCTCATAAAAATACATAGTTTTATAAAATTGTAGGTACATACCGTTTGTACTCAGAATTTCCATTTAACATTATTTTACAAGGAGAACTCAACTAGGTGCTGGAGCTATGCAGTTCCAATCCTTATTCTGTCATTATATGACATATGACCTCAAGCAAGATACTTCAGCATCATGCGGTTCACTTTCCCATTCATACAGAGTGCAGGGCCTGATGCTGCTTACACACTTACACATACATTTGTACATATCACTGTAGTGCACATGCTTGCCATTTTTAATGATTATAGTGTTTTAAGGGGCTACTAATTATGATGAAATATAGAGCCACGGGGAGAATAACAGAAATAGAGGAGTAAGAATACATTTACCGGCACATGCAAATGAACTGACACCACAAGACAAAGAATGAAACAGAACAGCCTTAAAGTTTTAGAGACCAAATAAAGGTTTAGCAAGAAAAACTAGTACTTAGATTTGCATGAAACAGATCCTTAAGATTAATATTTAGATCTTAAGAGATGTGATGGGAAAGGAGGGCTATTAGCTTATAAATACCATAATTTTATCAAGACATGTAATAGATTAGGTATACATCTAGTTGCTCTCAATTGCCCTCTACTTAACCCACTTGGCAGATTAACTGATAAGCTCTATTCCCTTGTAAATTTCCTGATGGCCTTGTCACAGGCCTTTTGGAGCTAATTTGTTGCTTTCTAGCATGCATAACATGGAAGTGTTCTCTCCAATTTAGGTGCTATACCTTGTGTTGGAAGGCAATAAAAGAGTAGACGGTGAATGTCAAAAGGATATTAAGAGCTACTTTAAGGGCTGCACCTGGCCAAATTTGGGACAATCTGAACATCAGAAACAATGAGCATAAATGACTGTTAACACATTGAATCATCTGTTATCACTGCAGATGAGAGCACCAAATTCTTTACTGGTAATTAAACTCCAACACTGGTAATTAAGGGAAAATAACTGAGCCTTACTCTGCCTCTAGTGCATTCCTAGTTGATGAGGGAAGGCTATACAAGAATGCTACTCAACAAATGTAAAATAAAATTATAAAACTGTCATTTTGCAAACACTGATAAAACAATGGATTCAGGCAAGGATCACCGTTGGTTACATTTCACCAGGTAAGAAGTTGTTGGCAACCAAAATATCTATATACTGCCAGTGCCATTCCACAAATTGTTAATTGCAATAGGAAAAACTACCTTTATATTGGGAAGATACGGTGGTTACCACCTCAACTGAGTGATCCATTGATAGTGAGTCAACCTGGTATTAGTGAGACTTTTGATATGATGCACTATGAAATACATCTGTCAGGTGTTATCATTAAAATGTTTAAAGAATCCAATTAAGCCTTTTGTCCTAACTTCCAATTTGTGGAAACTACAAGGGGTACAGGAACAACCCACATGTAAATAATCAGTTAAATCCTGAATGTGAGACATTCTTCAAGACAACTGACCTGCTCTCTTAAAGAGGAAAAACCAAAGTGGGGTCTGTTCTAGATAGATGAAACAGACATAAAAATCAAATACTATGTTTGAAAACTGACTGGATCAACAAAGAAAATCTAAACATAGACTAGGTCTTCAGATATTAGGGAATTACTGTCCTTTTTCTAAGGTATGCAATTGTATTGTGGTTCTGTAAAAGATTGTCCTGATTTTTATGAGATGCATGCTTAAGTATTTAGCGATGAAAATGTCATGTCTGTAAGTTACTTTCCAATGTTTGTTTTAAAAAAAATGGCAAAATGTTGGTTTTTAAATCTAGGTGGGTACGCAGTTCATTTTATTATTTTTAAACCTTTCTGTATATTTGAAAACTCATAATAAAAAGTTCTGAAAAATAAGGCTATTTGCTAAAAACTGCTGAATAATTTGTGGGTCAGACAACTGTAAAAGTGGGAAAAATACACAAAGATCTAGGGTTCTCCAATATTACTAATCTGTTATAAGGGCATCAATTGCCTCTGTGTATCAGTGGAAAACTTTATAAATGCATTATTTACATAAAACATACAAGGCAGGAAATATACAGTGAAACAAAGAAAGATGCTGTGGACTTTAACATGCCACATGCTCAACCAAGAGAAATAAGTGTTGTGTGAGGGATGAAGCAGCATAAAAAAAATAAGATTTTAAAAAACTGTTATTTTTAAAAAAAAAAAACATAACTATATAAGCACAGTTTGAGTATTCTGCAGCCTGTACTTTGTGCAGAATACTATGAAATCAAGGTTAACTAATGTAAGAGAAAGGGAAATCAAGTTTCTTAAAGAAAACACTCAGCAATATAGCCTTTAGGATGCTAGGATCCCGGGTCTAACCTTCAGTACCTGTTTGTAGGATAGTTTTATAAACAGTAATGTCCAAAGGAAGTTGCATGGTTAATACATGCTTAAATTGGTATTTATAGTATCAGAATTGATATCAATTTCCCCTCATTTAGCTTGGGAAAATCTCCTGTGTAGATGCCCCATGAAATCAGATTCACTATTTTTAAGCAGTTCCCAAGTAAATGTTATTTGTTGAACATTTCTTTGATATATGCACAATAGTATTTTTAGTTATACCAATTTTCACTTCATGCTGGTTAATTCTGCTTTATTACTGAAATCTAATTTATCTAATTAATTATAATTTAATTATAAATTAAATTATATAATTTATCTAATTTATTCATTCAATAATTAATTAATTCAGCCATGTATTGACCATGTGCTATTATGCAAGGGACTGGAAAAACAAATACGAGCACAATGAAATCTCAGTTCTCAGAATATGGCCTTATATTCTGGTAGTGGAATGCTATAAATATGAAATGCAATGGTATTTTTTTTACCTATTTCTATTTGCATTTCTGCCAGTTTTCTTTCTATGTTTAGAACTCACCCAGTTATCACTGTTTAATGATTACTGTGTCAGTGCTTTTTACAATTAATTTTTTTCCTCACATGTTAAGAGTAATCTCTATTTTTCTTGTATGTATGAAGGAGTGTCAGGCTTCCATTTATTCCTTAAAAATAAGTCATTTTGTTTTTAGTTTATAACCAGGCTGAATTCTTTTTTATTTAGCCATTTTCATTCCACAGACAAAGCAAGTCCAATTATTTTTCATGTTATAGCAATTATCTATGTATTATTCCTCACTCCATTAAAATTTCACCTTCTCTGGCCCACATTCTCCAGTGAACTCAAATCTACTTTCCGTTACTTATTTTTTTCTCACATTATTTATTTAGCTGCACCATTACTTCCACTACCTTCTCTTGGGATCTAGGTACCATTTAGCAACCCATTTTAGCAGGCTGCTTATGCTCATTCCATGACAAAATATCACGTCACTTTCTGATTACTCTAGAAATCTTTCTGTTGTGTAAATCACCTGCGATTTTCAGCATTGTAACAAGCCTTGAAAGGATCCAATTAAGAAGTTTGGGACCTGAGCATAGTAGATACTCAAGAAACGTGTTTCAATGGAAGAAATGAACTTTCCATAGTAAAACAGTCACAGAGAAAGCTAACATATAAATTTAGGAGTCAGGTGAAAAAAATGGGAACTGTATACCTTATGCCTAGTTTTTTCCATAAGGATGACCTTGAACATCATAACCTAGTGAATTCAAGGCTAACATGTATTAAAAATTCATTTAAACTTGGGGCATTTAATTTTTGCCTGTTTAACTAAATCTGTACACATCTAATATTATATACACATTAGTTTCTACTATATCTTTCATTAAGCCTCCCTTTAATATTTCAGTATCTGAGGGAAGGTGTAACTAAACAGTGATCACATAGAAATCTTTAAGATACTTTCAACTGTTTTTTCAAACCTACTGGCTCCATATGGCAGTTATGGCATAACAGGAGAAGGGGAAGTAAAACAGGAGGGAATCCTTTACATATTTTAAGGCTTCAAAGCTGGGAAAAAATAAAAGGCCTGAAAGCAGCTTTCTCTTTTCTGCAATTTTAAGATTACTCTCTAGTGTGAAATCTCTACTTGATGGACACTTTCCCAAGTTATACTCATAAGGCCTCATTAAGATGTACAGTTGACCCTTGAACAACATGTTTGAACTGTACAGATCCACTTATACTGGATTTTTTTTTGTTCAACTGAACAGAGTTTGAAAGTACATTATTCAGGGATGGGAAACCTGCATAGATGTAGGGCTTTACATATACACAGGTTCCGCCAGGCTGACTGTGCAACTTGAGTATGGGTAGATTTTGGTATACATGGGTGGTCCTGGAACCAATTCCCCGAGTATACTGAGGGATGACTGTACTTGAAATAAAGAGTTGATGAGTTATGTTTTTGAATACCCTTCACAGGGTTTCTTTCTGTAATGAATTAAACTCATATCAAATAAAGGTTAAGAAGTCAAATTTTCTTCTTAAATTTCACATTAAATCTAAATAGGTTATATCCATACCACTAATTCTGATACTTTTGCTGAGTGGTATCTAGCATATTGCACTTCTTCGGATTTCTTCTGAATGTTTTAACACAAAGAACACACAAAATAATATTGAAATGAAGTTGTAAAACCTAAATGAAGTTTCCCTTATCCATTAATTACGATGTTTGGCACCTGTATGAACACGTTGATGCTGAATGAGGTTTGTACTCTGCGTGAAGGTTTTACCACATATACGACATGCATAGGGTTTCTCTCCTGTGTGAATTCTCTGGTGTTGAATAAGGCATGTTCTCTGGCTAAAATCCTTATCACATTCATTACATTTATAGGGTCTCTCTCCAGTATGAGTTCTCTGATGTTGATTGAGTGATGAGGAATAAATAAAAGCTTTCCCACATTCATTACATTTATAGGGTTTCTCTCCAGTATGAATCCTTTGATGCTGAGTAAGATTTGCACCTTGTCTATATGCTTTCCCACATATATTGCATTTAAAGGGTTTTTCTCCATTATGAATCCTCTGATGTTGAGTAAGGTGCACACTCTGGCTGAATGCTTTCCCACACACACTGCATTTATATGGTTTCTCTCCAGTATGTGTTCTATGATGTTGAGTAAGATTTGCACTCTGGCTGAAGGCTTTCCCACATATATTACATATATATGATTTCTCTCCAGTATGGGTGGTTTGATGTTGAATAAGGGTTGAGGAGTGAGCAAAGGCTTTTCCGCATTCATTACATTTATAACATTTCTCTCCAGAATGAATTCTCTGATGTCGAATAAGATAAGTACTCTGACTAAACACTTTCCAACATTCATTGCATTTATATGGTTTCTTCCCAGTATGTATTTTTTGATGCTGAAGGAGGTGTGTACTCTGACTGAAAGTCTTCCCACATTCATTACATATATAAGGTTTTTCTCCAGTATGAACTCTCTGATGATTAATCAGTGATGAACTATGACTGAAGGTTTTACCACATTCCAAGCATTTATATGGTTTCTCTCCGGTATGCGTTCTTTGATGGATGGTAAGGTGTGCACGCTGACTAAAGTCTTTTCCACAGTCATCACACTTATAAGGTTTCTCTCCAGTATGAATTCTCTGATGTATAGTAAGGTGTGCACGCTGGCTGAAGGCTTTACCACACTGGTGGCATTCATATGGTTTTTCTCCAGTGTGCATTCTCTGATGTGCAATGAGGGATGAGATATGCCTAAACTCTTTCCCACATTCTTCACATTCATATGATTTCTCTTTGGCATGGGTGCTTTGGTGTTTCAGGAGGGATGGATATTTTCTAAATTTTTTCCCACACACATTACACTTGTAAGGCTTCTCTCCAGGAAGTATTTTCCTATGTACAATACCATACGAGACATGATTGAAGGTTGCCCTGCCTTCATTATACAGAGTTTTATTATCTAACTGGGTATCAAACTGTACAATTAGGTTTGAATGCTTTTCAAAATTATTTCTATATATATCATATTTACTAAGACATTCTTCTGTGGGATCATCTTCTTGTGAAAGGACTGACTTCAAACTGAAGCCTCTTTCATTAGTGGGAATCTTCCAGAAGCCTCCTGTGGCTCGCCTCCCTAATCTGTCATCATAGTCATATGAGTCTTCTAATTTGATGGTCTTGGTTTCTTCTTTTGTGAGTTTAGACATATCCTCTGCTTGGGCTTTAGTTTCCCATTCTGAAATAAAAAGAATACAAAAGTCTTCATTTATTTGGAGAAAGGAAACTGGTAAAATAGAAACAAAATAATAAACATGGATAAAATGCCCAAAGAGAGCAGCTCTGAAAACCTCATCATCATGGTCTTTAAAACTTGGGAAAGGAGACAAAAAGGGCAAAAAAAAAAAAAAAAAAGGGAGACTAAGTTGGTGAAAACAGACAGGTTCTTCATATTCAACATGGGCACAGAGGGAATAAAACAGATTAGGTCAGGTGACAGAGCTAAGAGAAGTCAAAACAGTGATAACACTTTGTGGAATAACTGGGATGGCCTCATGGATTAATTTATGTAATGCGTTCATAAAGTAGACATGCTGACTCTCATCACTCTCTCTTCCAATCTGCTCTGCACAATCCCACATAATATTCCTAAAGCAATTTCACTGAGTGCTTTCTATGCTCAAGTATCTCTAGTAAATCTCCCACAGCCTAAACAACGGTTCTTAAAAGTACAGTCCTCACACTAGCAGCATAAGCATCATTATCATCTAGAAATGTGTTAACATTACTGGGTGTCACCCAGACATACTGAATCAGAAACTTTGGTGGTAGAGCTAGTAATTTGTTTTATTAAGCCCAGCAGTTTTTCTATATACCAAAGTTTAAGGACTAGTGGCTTAAAGGATTAAAGCTAAAGAAAAAAAGTTTAAAAAAAAAAAAAAGAAAAAAAGTTTAAAATACCTCCACTTGGCATTCAGTCCCAAAATAATTCAGGCCTTTCTATTCTATTCTTTCTGATACTACAACTCACACTCAGCTTAATTTAAATTATTCACTACTTTTTTTTTTTTTTTTTTTTTGAGACAGACTCAGCACCATCTTGGCTCACTGCAACCTCTGCCTCCCAGGTTCAAGTGATTCTTGTGCCTCAGACTCCAAAGTAGCTGGGATTACAGGCATGAACTACCACACTCAGCTAATTTTTGTATTTTTAATAGAGACAGGGTTTCACGACATTGGCCAGGCTGGCCTTGAACACCTGGCCTTAGGTGATTCGCCTGCCTCAGCCTCCCAAAGTGCTAGGGTTACAGGCATGAGCCGCCACGCCCGGACTAAAGTTATCCACTACTTCTTCATAATTTTCTCTAGATGCCATGCTAATCCTACTCTCTAGGCCTTCTTTCATGATGATTTCTCCACGTACTAAAAAAGGTGTTTATAGTCCAGTTCATGTTTCTCTCTACGATGCTTCTCTGAATTTAAAATACAGATTAAAGGCCAGGCTCTGTGGCTTACTTCTGTAATCCCAGAACTTTGGGAGGCCAAGGCAGGTGGATCACTTGAGGTCAGGAGTTTGAAACCAGCCTGGCCACCATGGCAAAACTCTGTCTCTACCAAAAATACAAAAAATCAGCCAGATGTGGTAGTGTGTGCCTGTAGTCCCACCTACCTGGGAGTCTGAGGCATGAGAATTGCTTGAAACCGGGAGGTGGAGGTTGCAGTGACCCATGATAGCCCCACTGCACTCTAGCCTGGATGACAGAGCAAGGCCTGTCTCCAAAACAACAAAATAAAATACAGATTAGGTTGAATCATATAGGAAGTTGCCTTTTTTATAGGTCAAAATGGCTGAATGTCAGGAACTTTATATGGTTCAACCTAATATAGTATTGAGCTCATGACATAACTTGGCTTTATACAAGTACAGTAATGCATTGCTTAACGATGGGAATATGTTCTGAGAAATGTGGTGTTGGTTGATTTAATTGTTGTGTGATCATCACAGAGTATACTTATATGAACCTAGATTTTACATATATATATATTTCTTTTTTAAAATATGGAAAGCTAAATGTCCCGGCACTATTATTGAGAATCAGTCAATTCCCTCACTTGAGCTGCAATATGAATATCAAGTGCTCACATACCAGGTTTCTGTATATGCTTCATTGTCATCTTATGGGACCACCGTCATACATGCAGTATGTCATTGACCAAAATATCATGCAGCACATGACTGTAATTCACAATTCTGTACATTTCTTATATTTCCAACCTAGACGAAAATTCTGGAAATAGCTTATCCTTCTTTTACATTTCCTTTAGAAAATGATCTGAGACTGGATATGGTGGCAACTCAAATGACATAGTAAAATAAATGACATTCACATGTAAAAAGGTGAACTCAAATGAAAGCATACATGGATATGCATGCACACACATAACCAAACACACAAACACACACACACACATACACACACCCCCCAAACCAAAAAGGTTGACCCTCAAACTAACCTGGCTGTAATAAGGCAGCCAAATATGTATTTGTTGGTGCCTATTAGATTTCTTGTATAATTATTTAGCACAAAATTAAAGTTACAACCTCTTTTTCCTTTGAAACCAGGTGGGAAACATATAACTTGCAAATATCAAGAATTATATAATGTAATTTAATCAAATATATAATTTATAATACAGCAAAAATGGTACTAAATACTTCAGAAACTTTCTAAGAGGCAGGTCACAGTATAATACCTTTACAAACATATCCATTCAGTTGAGTAATATACAGTAATTAAAAATGACAGCCACATCCATCAATAAGGGACTAGTTATTAATAGAATAAGGGATAACAGAATATTGATAACTGATAATTAGGTAGGTCTAGGTACACTGACATGAAAAGGTGTGCGGGGCACACTAAGCGAAAAAAAAAAGCAGGTGTAATAAAAAAAGTGGAGCAAGATCCTATCTGTGTAAAGATACGTTATTTGTGTTACAGACAGACATAAGACAGACAGACAGACAGACACACACACACACACAAATAATCTAAGGGGAGAAGGTCCCGGTCATGACTGAAGGAAGAGGGACACTTATTATTTGCTTCCTTGTACTGCTTGAATTTACGAACTACTTTTTAAAACTTTTATTCAAATACAAAATCATAGTTTACATCAGAAATGTTTAGGAGTGACGTTAAATGAAACAAGTATCATAACAAGCATGAAAACACATCAGAAGTGGAAAAAGATTACCAAAATGCTAATAATGATATTATGGGTTTTCTCGTTTCTAATTTTCAATAAATTTGCTATATTACTTTTATTGCTATTTAGTACTAGTAAGTAGTTATATTCCATTCCAGTAGATGTAGCAAAATAAGAAAAAAATTTTTAAAAATGGAAAATAGTGGTTACTTTTATGAAAGAAAAAAAATTATGAACTTTCTCAAACCAGGATTTGTTATTCCCCTCCCCAGAAAAAAATGAGAATGTGAATGGACTGTACAAGTAGGTGTGACTATATACAAAAAAGATGAGATAATACCAGACGTTGAGTTCAACTTCTATGTAATCAGTATCAACCTATGACAGATTGTAACTAACTGAAAAGTAAAGTTATAATTAATAAGCTTAAAATGGCAAGACTAAATGATAATCATGAATAAATTGCTACTATAAATGCACAGTTTTAAACAAATTAGTTTACTAAAAATTCTGAAACAGATCATTAAGCAGGGCTTAAATATGTGTTTATCACTAAAACCAGAAAGGATTGGTTAGAAGTTTTATCTGTTGGTTAATAAGGACAAAAGTGGCATAATATTTCTAAATAGAGGAGATTAATGTTGACTCAGGTAATCAAGGGAAGCGGGGGAGGTGTGACTTGACCTCAAAGAATGGCAAAGTACTGTATAAAGAACTATAAACCATAAAATATAAACATAAAACAACCATAAAAGACATGGGACAGTAATGGCCATCGAACCAACACTACTAATCTGTTTGTTAATTACCAAAGTTTCCATTTCCTGAAGTGTGACTAACCTACCTCCTGAAGTACCCTAACCAAAGCTTGATTCAACTTACTATATATCTTTAAGCTGGCAAGAAAGCAAAAGCTTCACAGGCCAAAAATTAAGTAAAAGCAGGAAGGCAAGACGTAAGTAACAGCTCAAGTTGACTGCCTGAGCTAGCTCCTCGATCATGTTTGATGAGCTTAAGCTTCCACTTTGAGGGTACAAGGGACTCTGGGGCCAGAAGACAAAGCCTGGGGCCCAGCCCAGGAGAGGAGGCTGACAGCAGTCCCTTGAACAGAGGATTACACATGATATAAGAACATGCTAGGCTAGAAAAACAAAACCTCAAAATCTCAACTCTACAGAAGGAAAAAAGAAACTGTCTTTCTCAGTCTTGGTACTCTTTGGAGGGAGAAAAATCTCCCCTCTCCATATGTATAACCATACATTGCCCTTTCTTCAGGATTCACAGCCCAAATTTGTGCTCTCTGATAATCCAAAAAACTCTTGATATTGAGAAGTTAAAGTGATTTCAGACTGCAAGCATCACCCAGAAGATTATCCTGACTCTAGTCTAGGCTTATATCCATTACACTATGTATGTTTTCTCAGTGTCCTGAGTGTGGTGAATTTGTTCCCCAGAGAATTTGGTGTACTGTAGGTATATTTTGTATTTTTCAAACTAAGGCATATAAGGCCATAAATTATAGAGAAGAATTAGCTTTTAAAGTTTATGACCCTTTAAATACCTAATGACCAAAGTTACTTTTTAAAAAAAGTGAAACAATTCACTCTAAGGTAGTATATCTTTCTTTTTTTTTCTATACAGGGTCTTGCCGTGTCACCCAGGTGGGAATATAGTGGTGTGATCTTGGCTCATTGCAGCCTTGATCTCCCGGGCCTGTTTCCTCTCACTTCAGCCTCCTTAGTAGCTGGGATTATAGTCATGTATCACCACGACCAGTTAACTAAAAAAAATTTTCAGTAGAGATAGGTCTCACTATGTTGCCAGGCTTGTCTCAAATTTCTGAGTTCAAACGATCTGCCTGCCTCAGCCTCCCAAAGTGCTGGGGTTACAGGTGTGAGCCACTGTGCCTGGCCATATCATATCTGTCATTATTGTTGTATATTAGCATCCATGTTGATGGACATACAAAAAGTCAGTGTTTTAGATTTTAAAAATGGAGTAATGGCTGGGAGGTGTGGCTTACACCTGTGATCTCAGCACTGGAGGCCAACGTAGGCAGATCGCTTGAGTCCAGAAATTGAGACCAGCATTGGAAACATGGCAAGACCCTGCCTCTGCAAAAAATGCAAAAATTATCTGGGTGTGGTGGCACACACCTGTAGTCCCAGCTACTCAGGAGGCTGAGGTGGAAAGATAGCTTGAACGCAGGAGATGGAGGTTACAGTGAGCCATGATGACACCACTGCACTCCAGCTTGTGTGACAAGAGTGAGACTCTGTCTCAACAATAGCAATAAAATAAAATAAAATAAAATAATAAAATAAAAAATGGAATAACAAAGCAAGATGCAAGAATATACATAGTATGCTTCTTCTGTCTGCAAAAGAAGATAATGTATTAATAACTTATTTTTGCAAAGAGAAACATTGGAAGGATTCACCAGAAACCGATGATCATGGTTACCTTTTGGGAGTAGGTGGGAAGAGGGCAGAGGGAATAGAAATGTATACCTTTCTATATAGTTTTTGACTTCTGAGCCATGTTACTATTTTTACATACTCAAAAATGTAAATTAAAAACAATTTTTAAAAGCAAGAAAACACTATTCTTAGTGGTATATAATTTAAGAACAAAAAAGACTTCAAAGAAATCTTAAACTTTCTAGACTGTTTCTATTGGTAGTAGTACTGATATAAATTTGAAACTATTTTTGTGCGTAACATATGATATAGCAAATAAGTAAATATACTGATGTTATTGGAAACCAGATTATTCATTGTATGAGAAAGGAGATACAAAATGGAATATGGGAATATATAAAATGGAATATCCTTGTAGTGTTAGATTTTAATTGGAGTTTAAGTATGAACTCATGACTTAAAATAACTAACACACACACATACTTCCTAGCTCTATCCACTGAACAGAAGCAATGTGAATACATTTATGGCTCAGAAGTCACACATGGCTCAGAAGTAAAAAACTATATAGAAATATATACATAAATGTATTCACACTGAATAAACAGTGAATACATTTATGGCCCAGATCTTAGTTTTTTAGTACCATTCCGTACTAAAATGAATCAGCGTTCCTTGGAGAAATTCCAAGTCTAAGGTAAGCATAAGGTGAGCCTAAAGAACATCTGGCTTTGCCAGAAAGCAAGGAAATGGTTGAAAACTTATTGGGACATGTCAAAAAGATGCTGAACTTCTTTTAATGTCGGGGTGCCCAAATTTGGGACAACTGAGCATCAAAAACACAAAATGTAAAAACTGGAATTAATGGACTAATAATAGATACACACACACACACACACACACACACACACTTTTTTCTTTAAGACAGAGTCTCGCTATGTTGCCCAGGCTGCAGTGCAGTAGCGCAATCTTGGCTCACTGCAATCTCCACCTCCCTAGTCCAAGTGATTCTCCTGCCTCGGCCTCTCGAGTAGTTGGGACTACAAGCATGCACCACCATGCCCAGCTAATTTTTCTATTATTATTATTATTATTGTTTTTAGTAAAGACAGGGTTTTACTGTGTTGGCCAGGCTGGTCTCAAACTCCTGACCTCAAGTGATCCACCTGCCTTGGCCTCCTAAAGTGTTCGGATTATGGGAGTGAGCCACTGTGCCTGGCTGACTAATAATACATTGAATTTTTAAATTTTCCATTAGTTCACAGTGGTATATACATAAAAATGGGGTGGGGGAGGAAGAGCTATTTTTTTGAGACAAAGTCTAGCTCTGTAGTCCAGGTCGTGCAGTGGTGCAACCTTGGCTCACTGCAACCTCTGCCTCTGCCTCCCAGGTTCAAGTGATTCTTCTGTTTCAGCCTCCCAATTAGCTGGGTTACAGGTGCCTGCCACCACACCCAGCTAATTTTTGTAGTTTTAGTAGAGATGGGGTTTCACAGTGTTGGCTGGTCTCGAACTCCTAACCTCATGATCCACCCACCTCGGCCTCCCAAGGTGCTAGGATTACAAGTGAGAGCCACCACGCCCAGCCAGAAGGGCTGTTCTTTAATGAAGAATGCTATTAATCATTTAGAAAAGATGACTGAATTAGAAAATCACCATTTTGTGGCTGGAGGCAGTGGCTCATGCCTATAATCCCAGCACTTTGGGAGGCCACGGCGGGAGGATCACCTGAGATCAGGATTCAAGACCAGCCTGGCCAACATGGTGAAACCTCATTTCTACTAAAAATATACAAATTAGCTGGATGTGGTGGCATGTGCCTATAATCCCAGCTACTGCAGAGGCTGAGGCAGTAGAATTGCTTGAACCCAGGAGGTGGAGGTTGCAGTGAGAGGAGATCATGCCATTGCACACCAGCCTGGGCACCAAGAGCAAAACTCAGTCTCAAAAAAAAAAAGAAAAAGAAAAAGAAAAAGAAAATCACCATTTTGCAACCAGCAATATAATATTACAAAGACCATCAAATGGATGCTAAAAAATTTAAGTAAAGAATTATCAAGGAATAGTCATGTGACTGCAAAGTATCACTCCACAGACTACTTATTAGTCACAAAGAATGCACCTTTAAAGAGGAGAGACTTTGTAGACACCACCTTAAGCAAACTGAGCATCTCCAATGATGAGACAAATTACCATTATGTACCTCCTGAAGAAATGCAATGGAAGATACACATCACCTTTCAAATATTCTTGGCAGAATGTTTAACCTGACTATCTTTAGGAAACAATGAGGCAAATCTAAACTGTAGGTTATTAAAAAAAGAAACAAAACTGGCTTGGATCCTTTAAAAAATGTCGGTGTAATGAAAGACTTTTTTAAAAACAGAAAAAAGTCTGGGGAACATTTCTCTGTTAAAAAGGACTAAAGATAGGAGATAAGCAAGGAGAACATGTGATTCCTGACTGGATCCTGTACTGGGGAGAAAAACATCTATCAAGGATGTTTTTGGGACAGTTGGGAAAATCTGAATATTTGACTATACATTTAATAACACTCACATAAATGTTAAATATCTAGAGTGAGAGAATGGTATCATGTTTATGTAGAAAAATGTTCATGTTCTTAAGAGATATTTAGGGGTTGTCATGATGCCTGTAACTAACTGTAAAATGGTTCAGTGCAAAAACCTTTGTATAGAGATACAGCAAAAGTGGTTAAATGATGATAATTAGTGATTCCAGGTAGACAATACATAAGTGATGAATGTATTATGCATGTGTAGGTTTTAAGTCTTTTAAATGAAGTTATTGCAGAGGGAAGAAGCAAGGAATGAGAATGAAAAAGTCCATGAATAAGAAACAAGTTCAATAATAAAAATATGATGAAGATATAAAAAAAGCAATGAGGAAGCTCTTTATATACTCATTTGGAAGGCTTTTCAAGACATACTGTTAAGTTAAAAAGCAAGGTACAAAACAGTATGTATAATATGCTACCATTCATATTAGAAATGGAGAAAAACTATTTTTATATTGACTTCATATGTAAAAAATCCAAAGCATAATAAACATTTCAAATAACTGCTTATTGCCACAACTTTAACCTGGAGACAACAATTGTTCACACTTTATTACCTGACTTCTACTTATGTGGGAGGACAGACTTCTACAGCAGTCACATGCTGGGGAGATGGAGGAACTAGGTAAATATGATACTCAGGTGGGGCATTTTATATATATTTTGCTTTACACATTTTTAAGAATTTTGAATCTTATGAATATATTATATTTTTAAATAATTTAAAAATAAGGAAGGAATGTTTTACAAAAGATGAAGGCAGGGGATGTAGGAATTTGTCAGTGAACAGAATAAAAGAAACTCAAAAAGAAGAAGGTTTAACATTGAAATTTTTAGGGGGCATTCATGTATGTTTAAACATAGAGGAAGGGGAAAATGGCACAATGAAAGCCCTATACAAAGCTCTAAGAGATGGGATCTAGAGGTCATGTAGAATGAGAAAATGAGAAGAGACACAGGGGAAAGGTCTAATAGTGTTGCTTGGAAACTCTTCCTGAAGAGACCTCCATAAGGAAGCAATGCCAGACAGCTTAGTGTTCTTGACAGGCTTGAATGCCTTTGCAGAAAGTAAGCTGATCATATTTAAAAAGCATATCTCACCACACTTAGGATATAGATTCTGAAACGCAAAGAAGCTCATGTGCTTTTTTGTTTCTCACCTGGACTAGGGCCTTCTAAAATTTCTTTTATCACCATCCATGGTTCTTCCAATATGGGAATCACAGTTGGTCTGTACACTGTAAGTCCTGTTCAGGAGGAATATAATAAATTTTATCCTGGAGATAAACAGTTGCTTGAAGTTTTATTACCAAACTTCTACATATCTGGGAGAATGGAAAACAATAGTTCATGGACATGATCTAATAAAAGAATTAGGATTTTGGTTGTTGTCCTTTCCGGAGATAGGATAAAAATTTCCTGTCACTGAAGAGGATATGTGCACGGAGATCATGGAGGAAGAAACCTTCCCTTAGAGTAGCAAAGACCTAGCAAGGCAGCATCGCGTGGCAGCACTATAAAGCTGTGCATCTGTTTCCAATGTTTTCTCACTTAAAAACCTTTCATTTGGGAAATGGGAGTAAAATAGTTGCTTTTGTGATAGAATGAGGAACAACATTTATTTCTAGACCCCATTTTTAGCTAAGCATGTGTGAGGCCCAACCCATTTTTAACAACAGGTGTAAGAAAGATACCCTGATGGACAGGCTAGGAGGAAGAGGGCTGTAAATGATTCTTACCCAGAGAAACCATGTTCCAATAGTTCTGTAACGTCACAGTCTTGTATAATTCCTTTTGTACAGGACGCATTAACTCCCAGTCCTCCTGGGTGATGTCTACAGCCACATCTTTGAATGTCATTGATTCCTAAAATATCAAACGTAACTTAACTCAGTTCAAGAACTAATGGCAAAGGGGACACTTATAACACTGGGTGTATGTATGCTGGGGGAGTGTCACAGAATCTTAAGCTTTAGTAGGATCCTAGAAGTTGTCTAGTCAAAACCTCCCCCAACATATGGACAGCGCCACAGCATCTCTCCATAACCCTAAAAGGAAGTCTGAAAATAGAGTGGAATTTATTTTCACTTGGCACTCGTGCATGCATTGGTGGCAGCTCTGTTTTTTAAAAAGAAAAGGCTTATTATTTTTAAAAGAAACGGTCTCTGTCGCTTGTGCTGGACTAGTGCATGCATTGGTGACAGCTCCATTTTTAAAAGGAAAATATTTATTTTTATCATTTTTAAAAGAGACAGGGTCTTACTTGGTCACCTGGGCTGGAGTGTAATGGTGCAATCATTGTTCACTGCAGCCTCGAGGTCCGGGGCAGAAGTGATCCTCTCACCTCACCCTCCCAAGTAGCTGGGACTACAGGTGTGCATCACCACATCTGGCTAATTTTTAAATTTTTGTGTAGAAATGGGATTTTGCTATGCTGCCCAGGCTGTTCTCAAACTCCTGAACTCAAGTGCTCCTTCACCTCAGCTTCCCAAAGTGTTGGGATTACAGGAGTGACCCGCCATGCCTAGCTTGAGTTTTAAATTTTAAACACAGATGACATAGAGTTGAATGATTTGCTTTTCAAGCTATGCTTTAAGAATAAATCCAACATGTTATAATTAAAATGTTAAGATAGTTTTATGTGTTCTATGATTAAATGCAGTCTTTCTTTTTAAAAATACAATAAACACAGTGTTGAATTGCTGTACTGTTAGATACATTTCACAGTCTGTTAAGGTTAGTGCCTTTCTTGTTTGCTCTTCTTTTGTTAAAAATGTAATATTATTTTACATGCTTCTCTTTGTTTTTTTGAGATGAGGTCTTGCTCTGTCACCCGGCTAGAGTGCACTGGCTTCCCAAGTAGCTGGGATTATAGCCATGAGCCACCACACCCAACTGATTTTTGTATTTTTAGTAGAGATAGGGTTTTGCCACATCAGCCAGGCTGGTTTCAAACTCCTGATCTCAGGTGATTCACCCTCCTCAGCCTCCCAAAGTGCTGGGTTGACAGCTGAGATGACAGGCGTGAGCCACCGTGCCCAGCCACACGTTTACTTTTTCATATAACTGTATGAAAGGAGGCCAGGTGTGGTGGCTCATGCCTATAATCCTAGCACTTTGGGAAGCCAAGGCAGGAGGATCACTTTGAGACCAGAATTTAAGAACAGCCTGGGCAACACAGTGAGATCCCATCTCTTAAAATTTTTTTTTCTTTTAAATCATACTGAGATTTAAAAATTTTATTAGGTTTATAACTTAGGGAGGACTGATGACTTTATAATATACAAGGTTTCTTTCATGTTCTACAAAATATTAGACATGAAAGTATTACAATATTTATATAATATTTATATTATGCTTAGTTTTACATATTTTAAGCTTTTTGGGGGGTTTTGATACTGGAAGCATTTATTTCATTTTATCACCTATCTGATTTCTACATGTGTGTATATATATGTGTGTATGTGTGTGTGTGTTTATATATGTATATATATATGTGATTACTTTTTTCATGTCATTTTCTGTAGAGTCATTTTATCCCATTTTTATTAGTGTTTTTTAACAGTTTTTCCCCTGATTTTGTTAGGTTTTGCAGGTAAAGGTTCACATCATCAATGAATAATCATTTTAACTTAGTTACCAAAGGCTTTCCAATTTCAGAAAAACCAGTTATAGTTTTACAGTGTATTTATCTTAAGGTAGCTGAAGTTGCTATTCTGTAAAATTTAGATTCATGGCCGGGTGTGGTGGCTCATGCCTGTAATCCCAGCACTTTGGGAGGCCAAGGTGGTTGGGTTACCTGAGGTCAGGAGTTCAAGACCAGTCTGACAAACAATGGCGAAACCCTGTCTCTACTAGAAATGCAAAAATTAGCCTGGCGTGGTGGCATGCACCTGTAACCCCAGCTACTCCAGAGGCTGTGGCACAAAAATTGCTTAAACCCAGGAGGTGGAGGCTACAGTGAGCCAAGATCATGCCACTACACTCCAGCCTGGGTGATAGAGTGAGACTCTGTCTCAAAAATATATACGGACTCATGATCAACAGTAATATCACAGAATGCATGGCCTTTAACTACGTGGGTAATGAGGAAAAATAATAGCAACAATTGTCTATTAATTGCTTAACTGTAATCCAGCCCAACTACAAGTCTCATAAAATTTAATACTCACAATCTAAGAGATAAATTCTATTTATGAGAATAGAATAACTCAGGCTAAGAGTGGTTAAGTTTCTTGTCTCAAACTGCAGTTTCAGTGGTAGAGTCAGGAACCAAAACCTAAATCCATCTGGCTGTGGAGGTCAATCCCGTATCCCATATGTGATATTGTTGACAAAGTCAAAGTAAGGAAAGATGCATCAAGGGAAGGCAATGGAAGCCCCTTTTCTTTACTGTACATTTACCTACATTAACAGACAAAGACAACATAGGAGAGAAACTGAGGCTTAAGTCCTTGATAGAGCTTTTGGGGGCACAGTAGTTACAGGGCCAGGACAGAAAATGTCCTCACACACTAAGAAGGCATTTTAAAATTAGAAAAGACAGACAAACTCACTTTGGTCACCAAGTCATTTAGCCACCCTGCCTGGAAAGCATGTTTTCCTCTGGGGTCTTCCTCTGGGGTATCTTGGGAAAGGGTAGAGTTTTGAGGAGCTAGAGAAGAGAAAGAGGTCATGAAGGAGATTAGTCCTTTTTGAATAGCTTAGGAAACCCCTCACCAAATGGATGCCTACACTTTCTTAAATTGAGAAGAAGGAAACCAAAAACAGCACTCCTACCTCAAAGCATCAGAGGAAAGGGCCAATGACTTGTCCTAAGACATCAAAACAGACTTTGAAAACAAGCTTGCTCTAAAAATCTTAAAAGTATGAACAAAATTCACTTTTTTTTTTTTTTTTTTTGAGATGGAGTCTCGCTCTGTCGCCCAGGCTGGAGTACAGTGGTGCGATCTCAGCTCACTGCAACCTCTGCCTCCTGGGCTCAAGTGATTCTCCTGCCTCAGCCTCCTGAGTAGTTGGGACTAAGGCTCGCACCACCATGCCCGGCTAATTTTTGTATTTTTGGTAGAGACGGGGTTTCAGCATTTTGGTCAGGCTGGTCTGGAACTTCTGACCTCGCGATCTGCCTGCCTCAGCCTCCCAAAGTGCTGGGATTACAGGTGTGAGCCACCATACCTGGCTTTTTTTTTTTTTTTTTTTTATTTTTGAGAAAGAGCCTTGCTCTGTTACCCAGACTGGAGTGCAGTGGAGTAATCTGGGCTCACTGCAACCTCTGCTTCTCAGGTTCAAGTGATTCTCCTGCCTCAGCCTCCCGAGCAGCTGGGACTACAGGCTTGTGCTATACGCCTGACTAATTTTTGTATTTATAGTAGCAACAGGGTTTCACCATATTGGTCAGGCTGGTCTGGAATTCCTGATCTCAGGAGATCTGCCCACCTCAGCCTCCCAAAGTGCTGGGATTACAGGCGTGAGCTACCGCACCCGGCCCAAAATTCACATTTTAACTAAATCCTTATGTGATATTAATTTTGTGAGTTGTCTCTTAATAAAGGGATGTTTTCTCAACCCTTTCTTCCTTTACTGGAAGTATTTTATTGTAAAATTCTATTCACAAAACAAATGATTTGTTAGTAGAATGGTGCAAACCTCTGCAGATACTTTCTGAAGGCTCACACAGTGGTAATTTGGTTGCGCCTGGTCACTCTTTCAAGATATTTTTCCAGGGGGGTTTAGATAATGTGTGTTTGCTCCCAACCAATCTGGAAGGAGAACACGATGCAGGATGGAGCTCATGTTAAAGCCTTGTTCTGACTCACTGAACTTCGTTCTCCCCAATTTCTTTCTTTTTAAAAAATGCATCCTGGACCTCTCAGTGTTCTCCCCAATTTCTTTAAAGAGCTGCTCAGATGTGCTAGTTGTCTTCTTTAACCACCCAGGGATTCCTCCCCTCTCTGCTCTATGATTCTCACCTTCCTCTTCTAGAATCTGAGTCAAATCCTCCACCAGAGTCACTGCTTCCTCGCTGCTCTCTGGATATTGGGACTTTACCCAAGTCCTAACCTCACCAGGCAGGATGGTCAGGAATTGCTCCAGCACCAGCAGTTCCAAAATTTGTTCCTTTGAGTGAATCTCAGGTCTCAGCCACTTAAGGCAGAGCTCTCGGAGTTGACTCAATGCCTTTCGAGGACCAGCCAGGTCTGGGTATGGAAAATTCCTAAAATTCTGTCGACAGGTCTCAGTGTCACGCAAGAATCTCGAAGTAAGGATTTCCTTCTCAACATGGTAGGGTCCACTCTGAGCCTTGTCTGACTTCCACCTTAGAAGGATTTGGGAACGTGAAGAGCTGTTCATCCTCTTGCTTGAGACTAACATTGCTACAGACAGGTGAGTCAATCTGGCAATATCCTTTATTTCTCCAGTAGTGAGGCAACTGCTTGAAGTCTCATGCTAGAGTCACAAGGACACTATATCAAAGGCTGCTGCAGCCGAGGGCAGAACAGAATCAAGGTAGAGTTAGCAGCCTTAGTGACAAATTCTGAGCCCAGAACTTGCAGGGATGGATAAGAGACCCTGAAACACAAGCAGGGACCACAAGGTCAAGAATTCTTGCATGCTCTACTATACATATATACACACAGAAACACTCGCAGTGTGCTTAGATGAACAAACGTAAGCTTCACCTTGTTTTTCTCCCCTATATCCTTAGACTTGTAAGGGAGCTGCAATCTGCTTGGGGTTAGTGGGGGATGGAGCTGCTATTAAAAAAGTAGTGTCAGAGGCAATGACTCAAACAATCTAAGCAAAATGACACATTAAACTTCTAATCTATTGAAACAAAATTAAACATTTTTATAGACAAAATAGTTTCATTATTTTAGTCACTGATGTTACAGAAGCTGTAATGACTGAACTGGCTCTCGATAATAACAGAGCAAATCTGTTACTTGGAAGAAACTAGGAGAATTTCTTCTTAATACAGTGCTCAAGGTTCCCAAGGGAACTGTCAAGGGAAAGGGCGAGCCATTTATCTGCTTTGCATGTTAATGCCAGCCGACTCTAGCTTGTCACTATCAAAGGGCTGGGAAGACAGCGGGTTGGACTGGAAAAGAGTAGAAGAGGTTGGTGCGACGTGAAGCCCTTTACGTGCGTCTACAGGAGACAGTTCCTTAAGGATATATTCGAAACCAGGATTCTCGAAGGCAACGTTAGAACTGGCCTGATCTGGAGAACAGACACTACCTGTGCCCAGGCTGCAGCTCCGAGCTCTGCTCAGGCACAGTCGTGCTGCCAAAGCCAACTGTTTACAAGGCCCTGCAAAGGAGATGCGACAGCCTCGCCTGGCCTCCTGTCGCCGCCCCTTCCCGGCCAAGTCCTTTTGCCTCTTACTCCTCCTCAGCCGCAGGGTCGAGGTCGAGGGCAGCGGGGGAGTAGGGGACCCTGCGACACGCAACGCTGGGACTGGGCCCACAGCAGCCTCCACCCCGTCTTTGCCCTCCCGCAGGCCACGAGCACAGGCGCCCGCGCGTGGACGGGCTCGGGCTGTCACTGACCGCGCGGACACTCGCGCGCGGCGCCCGGACATCAATACCTGTCGCTGGGACCCGGCCGACGGGCAGCCGGAGCGGCCCTAAGGCCACAGGCAACAATGGCGGCGCTGGCACGGGCGCCTGCGTGGCGGGCTCAGTCCCGCGCGGCAGCGGGTCCTCGGGCTCCGCCACTTCCCTTCCCCGCAAAGCAGAGCGTGGCCCGGCCAGGAGCTGCACGTTCCAGCCCGGTCCTGGGAAACCCGGCCCAGAAGCCCCAGCGCCTCTGCTTCGCCGCGACCTCGCCTCGGCGCCACTGCGCATGTGCGCCGGGGGAACGCTGCGCGCCCGCAGAGCCAATCGGAGCCCGACCTGCGGCCTCCCCCTCCCGCGTCTCTGGCCCTGGACCTGTCTCCATGGCAACCTCCTCCACCCATCTCTCTGACTTGCTTGTCAGCCTGCGAGGTTCCGAAGGGAACTTCAAAGTTTCCCTGGGCAGACGCAGGTCTAGCAGAAGTGTTGGAGGCCGGGGAGATTCCAGCAGCTGGAGGAGCGCTAGGGAGTTAAAGCCCCTCTCTTATTACCCAGAAAAAACCCGGTGCCAGATTTCCTAGAGGAAGAATGGGCAGGCAACATGCGTGTCTAAAGGCAGAAAGACCTAACGTGCGGTTTCGGGCTTTACTGTGCATACATGTTAACTGTTAAAGGTTCTCACTTCCTCCTCAGGAATTTGATTCTGAGACTCTCAGATTGGGGAGGGGGGACCCATTTTTCTTTCTTCTTTTTTTTTTTTTTTTTTTTTTTTGAGACAGAGTCTCGCTCTGTCACCCAGGTTGGAGTGCAATGGCGCGATCTCGACTTAGTTCAACCTCCGTCTCCTGGGTTCCAGTGATTCTCCCGTCTCAGCCTCCCGAGCAGCTGTTATTTCTAAGAGACACAAAACAAAAATACATACAAATAAAAGGATATAAAAACATATTCCAGGTGTTCCCGTTATAATGTTCTATTAACAAACCACCCCAAAACTTAGTGGTTTTGAAGAACAATCACCTTATTATGCTCATAAATATGGTGAGGAATTTGGAAGGGACCGGAGTGAGTGGGCCTTTGCCTCATTGTCTGTAGCCTCCGTTGGGATGATTTGATGGCTGGGGGGGGGGAGGCACTTTCAAGATGGCTTTCCACTCACATGTCCACCTCTTGGGAGGAGATGGGTTAAAAGACGAGCTTGGCTTGAATTTGACCAGAGCATCTCAATGTGTTTTCTCCAGCATAAAGGACTGAGGGCAGCTGGAAGGAATTATCACGTGGTGGCTCTGGGCTCCAAGAGTGAGCATTCCAGTGAACAAGAGAGAAGCGCAATGGCCAATTATAACACGGCCTTGGAAGTCACCTAGCACCAATTCTGCCAGGCTCTTGGTCAAAGCAGTCACAATCCTGCACAGACTCAAATGAGGCAGAACCCTGTGGGGTTGGGGGAGGACTGTCAAAGAGTCTTAATATCATCACACCAGGAACATTCTAACAAAAAGAAAGCTGGGGAGTGTGATGGTCTTATGATCTGTCAACTTGGCTAGGCTACAGTCTCTGGAGTTTCTTCTCCATCAGCGTGCAGCAGCTTCTAGCCTGCCTTTCCTGATGAGGTGCTCTTACAGATTTTGCACTTGCCTAGTCACCCCCCTCAATTGAGTAAGGCAACTCCTTGCCACAAGTATCTTAAATATCTACTGGTTCTGCTTTTCTGGTTGAACCCTGACTGATACAAATAATAATCCTAATATCAGCTATGCTAGAATTTGAGAAGATCACAAGGGAACAAATAAGAATGTTTGATGGAAAAGATACATTTATCATAAATATACAGCAAGTCCCTAACAATAAGACCTCAAAATATACAAAGCAATAGCTGACATACCTGTAGGGAGCAAAACATAAACCAACAACAAAAGCTGGAAATTCAACACACGCTATAGTTACACTGTAACCATAGTTACAGGGCCTCCAGTCTGAGGCATCCATTCCCACAGCTGCTGGCTGAGTAGCTGCTGATGGCTCACAGCTAAATATTTCTTTGAAAGTTGTCCTAGCTGCAGGGAGCTGCCTCTCACAAGTCACATCTTCTCCCCAGGGGAAGTCCATATCCAAAGAATGCTCAGTGCAGGGTTCAAAGACCTGGCTCCCTGTCTTCAACTTGCAGCCTGTATAAAGGGTCATCTTGGCTTAAGAATTCCTGTGAAACCAACTGAGGCCTCTGTTGCAATCACACGGCATTTAAACCTATTCCTCTGTCCAGTTCTTCTTATATCACTCCTGCATAGGCATTTTTTCCAGAGAACGCTACCAAATAATTACCTTGCATGCAGTTCTCCATCACAGAATGTATTTCTAGGGAATCTGTCCTATAACAGTTGGTATCAGCAGTTGTTCTAAGAAAGCAAACTCTAAAATGATTTTTTTTTTGAGGTGGAGTCTTGCTCTGTCACCCAGACTGGAGTGCAGTGGCGCAATCTCAGCTCACTGCAACCTCTGCCTCCTGGGTTCAAGCAATTCTCCCTGCCTCAGCCTCCCGAGTAGCTGGGATTATAGGCGCCTGCCACTAAACCCAGCTAATTTTTGTATTTTTTAGTAGAGACTGGGTTTGCCATCTTGTCCAGGCTATTCTTAAATTCCTAACCTCAGGTGATCTGCCTGCCTTGGCCTCCCAAAGTGTTGGGATTACAGGCATGAGCCGTAAAACGGAATTTTGAAGCTGAGTTACCTGCCACCTTGCTGACAATGAGGGAGGGCCCTAGGATTTGTGATTGGCAGAGTAATGATAGCATATATCAGGTCGTAGCAATGTAATTGTTAAAATTGTCAGTGGTGTTGAACTGGGGTGGAATATTGACGGAAGGGAATGCACTGGTGGATGCTACATCTCAGATCTTTATAACATTAGGGGAAGTGATAATTCTAGAGATGATGGAATTGAATGGCTATTATCAGCGGCTATTGACAATGAAAGGCTGATGGTGATTAGTAACAAATTTAAGGGAAAATGTGAGAATCAGAGGACTTCTTGAAGTCTGACAGCAAAACAGCTGAGAATCAGTCCCCAGGATGATATTGCTAGTACTCTAGCAATATAATAACTTCAGCTAAGATTGAATTCTAAATCCCAGCAAGTTTGCTATGCCAAGTCAGGATCCTGCTGGGAAAGTAGTAGAACTCTGAGATTTGGGATGGGGACATTTGATTTATGCATGCAAACACCTCCAAACACCAATCCCTCTGAATTTCCTGGGCTTGTTAAAGTGGCCCAGTCCTCCAAGTCTAAAGCTAGGGCTCTGCCTTGCTGGAAGATGGTGCAGACAGAGGCCTCTACACTGCAATAAAACTCATGCCCCTCTCAGGATTTACCTACCCTTTCCTCCCCCTACCCCATCCACTAGACCAATAACTAGAATTAAGTTGCCAAGAAACCCAACAGGGGAAATTCTGGGCATAAGAGAGGAAAAGAACCATCCTCTGAAGTTACTACAGGCCCTAGTCTATGTCTATCTGTAGGAACCAGGACAGCACGTATTGGACTGGATTCTGAGGATGCTGGATCAAGAACATAGAACATATATTTGAGTACCAGAGAGTTTATTGAAAAGGAACACACTCCTGGCCAGGCACAGTGGCTCAGGCCTATAATCTGAGCACTTTGTGAGGCCGAGGCCAGTGGATCACCTGAGGTCAGGAGTTGGAGACCAGCCTGGCCAACATGGTGAAACCCCATCTCTACTAAAACTACAAAAAATTAGCCAGGCGTGGTGACGGGCACCTGTAAAGCTAGCTAATCAGGAGGCTGAGGCAGGAGAATCACTTGAACCTGGGAGGCAGAGGTTGCAGTGAGCCAAGATCATGCTGTGGCACTCCAGCCTGGGCAACAAGAGTAAAATTTGCCTCAAAAATAAAAAAATAAAAAAGCACCCTCCTGTGATACAGGATTTAAACACTCTGGCAAAGATGCCAGGAGATGGGGATTAGAGAAATACATGGTTCATGTCAAGCAGAAAATGTCAGAATTGCTTGACAAAAGGTAAAATAAGAGGTTAAAAGGCTCAGGGAACTGAGTATACTAGAATAGGTAGAGTTTGTAAGGCTGAAATACTTACCAGCTGTCTGTTTCATTGGGAAGTCTGGAAGATCATCTGCTGTGATAAAGAATGTGCTAGAGAGCGGCACCAGCATCATTGATAAACTCTGTGGTAGCTGTCCTCTGCAAGCTGAGGCTGACCATAGGGGATTTGTTACAAGACTGGGGCTCCCTGAGGATGGCTTCAGAAATAAGGTGAGCTCAATTCACATAATGAGCAATATGATCAAAGTGGAAGATGGGGAGAGAAAAAGGGGAAGAGGCACTTTATTTTCAGATAACTTTCAAGGAGATTAATAGAATATGGTGTCTCTAAAGACAAGATATGCGGGCAGACAACAGGGGAAGTAATCAGTCTATACAGTCAAGTGAAATAAAGCATGAATAATCAAGAAACTGAGGCTAAGAAAATGTAATGATCGCTGGCCAGAACCTATGACTGAAGAAGCCAAATCTCCAGAAGTCAGGACCTTATTGTACTACCATGCATATATTCGGTAATGATTTTCCCAGCCCCCTCCCACCCAAAGGTACCTATGGCCATTTACTTAGGTACATGGGGAAAAAGGGAGTACCCAGAAGTTTCAAGGCTGCTGGATAAAGGTTCTGAGTTGACACTGATACTTAGGGACCTGAGGCAACATGATGGCCTCTATGTTAGAATGGTGAAGTGTGGGAGCCATGTAATCCATGAAAGTCTGTCTCATGGCAGGTCCACAGGATTCATTGCCCCATCCAGTGGTAATTTTCCAAGACCTTGAATGTGTAATTGGAATGGATGTACTTACTGTTGGCAAACCACATTAGTTACCTGGACTATAGGGTAAGAGCTACCAAAAATGCCAATTTGAATACTCTGAAACT